TGTTCTATATGGTTGTCTCAGATACTTTCAACCTTTCCAGAGACCCCCTGCTCCATACCCAGCTTCTCCTCTGTGAGCCATGTACTTGTATTACCAGGGAGGGGAGGCTCTGCATCTCCTTGGCTTTCTGTATTTGGTTCCCACAGCCATCTCCTAAGTCTTTGGGATAGACAGCCTCCAGCCCTGCCTCCTAGGGGAGTAGTGTTTGTGAAGCCATCTGTCAACTAAAAGTGACAGGCTTCAGAAGGTATATTTTATGGCCAAAAAGAAGTCTGGAGGTCTACCTCAGAGGTAGAGCAGCCTAGCAAGTATGAGGCTCTGAATTCAAGCCCCTAGTAGTGTAAAAATAAATACATAAATACAAATGTAATAAATAACAGTCAACCCTGTCCACTGTGTCTGGGGCAGCCTGGAAGTGCCTGGGCTGGCAGGGGTGAGGCCAGCCCTTCCTTCTGCATTTCCTCCCATTGTTCTCCATCCTACTTCCGGGAATTCTGGGAATTCTCCATGTCTGGATCAGCATGACTGGGCTGCAGGCAAAGGAGGCAGAGGAGGTGTGGTTTTCTTTGGGCTTCTGGCCCAGAGAATAGAGTTTCAGCTGCTATACAGCTGTTGAGACAACCAGACTGCTACCTGTTCCTTCTGCTCATTTGTCCTGCCTGGCCTTTTCTTCCCATGAACTGCTTCCCAAGAGCTGTGGTGATAGCTCAGGAAATCTGCAGAGTCTTGGGGCCAACTGATCCATCTACTTGCTTGAATGAGCCACTCTGATCTGCTGCCCATTTCCCCATGAAGGACAAGAGAACCTTGATCTCTGATGTGATTCCAGGGTCCTCTGTACCTAGTGCCTGGTCTTTTTGAAGTTGCTTGGGTGTCAGGTCAATATACTAGTGACAGGTGCCCCCTCCATGCTGACCCTTGGGATGACAGGAGGCTCTGCTTAATAAGTTATGGTACAAAACCAATTCTAAGTTTCAAGGGAACAAAACACAAAGCAGTCCACATTATAGGAAATATAACTCCAGCTCACAAGGGGCCTTAGGACCCTGGAGTGAACACCCCTTTAATTCTTTTTTTTTTTGTTAGTTGTAGGGCTTGAACTCTGGGACTAGGTGCTGTCCCTGAGCTCACTCTATCATTTGAGCCACAGTACCACTTCCAGTTTCTGAATATTTAATTGGAGATAAGAGTTTCATGGGGACTTTTCTGCCTGAGTTGGCTTGAAACTTCAATCATCAGAGCTCAGCCTCCTCAGTAGTTAGGATTACAGGCATGAGCCACCGGTGCCTGGATTCCCCTTAATTCTTTATTTAAAGAAATGCAAGCCAGTGACTCACACCTGTAATCCTAGCTACTCAGGAGGTTGAGATCTGTTGATTGAAGTTTCAGGCCAACAGGGCAGAAAAGTCCCCATGAAACTCTTTTTTTTTAAAAAAATATTTTTTGTACCCATGAAACTCTTATCTCCAATTAAGCACTCAAGGAAGTGGTGTTGTGGCTCTAAGTGGTAGAGTGCTATCCTTGAGCAAAAGAACTCAGGGACAGTTCCCAGGCTCTGAGTTCAAGCCCAATGACTGACAAAAAAAGAAAAAAAATGTAAGAAAAATTGATCTTGAATACATACCACATTTTTGGTCTTCCTAGGAAGGGAAACTACAAGTAACTGAGTCTCCAGCTCAAGAGGGATGGATTTTAAGGATGAGAAGCTTATGGAAGCAGCCTAATTTTCATTTATATGCATGTGTATGTATTAAAATATACATAACAGGCTAGCTACCAGTGAATCACTCCTGTTTTCCTAGCTACTCGGGAGGCTGGGATCTGAGGATCATGGTTCAAAGCCAACCTGGTCAAGAAAGACTGTGAGACTATCTCCAATAAACCACCAGAAAACTGGAAGTGGTGCTGTGGCTCAAGTGGTAGAGTGCTCACCTTGAGCTGAAGAGCTCAGGGATAGTGCCCAGGCCCAGAGTTCAAGCCCCATGACTGACAATAAATAAATAAAATATACATAATAAAATCTACTGTTTATACCATTTTGAGGTGTACAACACAGTGACATTAGTATGTAAGCCTCACTCCCATCCATCTCTAGGATGACTTCAGCTTCCAAACTGAAAGCCTGTATCCACTGAATAATTCCCCACTTCCCTCTTCCCCCAGCCCCGACAAACCCCACTCTGTTTTCTGTGCGTATGCATCTAATTACTCTAAGTGCCCTCTAAATGAAAGCGTATATTAATTGTTCTTTGGTGTCTGGCTTGTTTCACTTAGCATAATGTCTTCAGGATTAATTCCTGTAATAGTGTGTGTCAGAATTTTCTTCCTTTTCAACACTGAATAGTATTCCATTGTATGTCCACATTGCTTTTTTTTTCCTGTTTGTTTATACATCTAGTCAAACTTGGTTGTTCCCATCTTTAGGCTATTATAAATATGGCACTATGAATATGGGTGTGAAAAATATCTGCAAGAGACCCTAATTTCAGCTTTTAGGTGTTACACATGCAGAGATGGGATTGCTAGATCATACTTTAGTTCTAGGTTTAACTATTTTTTTGGTCCCAGCCTATGGCTTGAACTCAGGGCCTGGACACTGTCCCTGAGCTTTTTTGCTCAAGGCTACTGCTCAACTACTTGAGCCACTGCTCCACTTCTGATGTTTGGAAATTCATTGAAGATAAATGTCTCAAAACAAATGTTTCAAAACCTTCGTTGGGCTTGTTTTGAACTGTGATCCTCAGAGCTTAGCCTTTTGAGCAGTTAGGATTCATAGCCATGAACCACCAGTGCCTGGCTCTATGTTGAACTTTTAAAGAAATTCCTGAACTGTTTTTTACAGCAGCTGTACTTTTTTTTTTCTGTTTCAGCCAGCAGTGAACAGGATAATAATTTCCCCACATTCTGACCAACACACATCTGCTATCTTCCTCCCTCCTTTGTTCTCTCCCTTCCTTCCTTCTTTGCTTCCTTGCTTTTGGCAACACGGGTACAAGTGCTCTATCACTTGAGCCACTCCAGTCTCTTTTTTTTTGCTTTTAGTCTGTTTTTCAAATAGGGTCTCATGCTTTTGCCCTGGCCAGCCTTAGACTGAGATCCTCTTGTCTCCACCACCTGAATATCTAGGATTATGTACATGTGCTACCACATCCCGCCCTCCCTCTCCCTTTGTTATAGCCATCCTAATATAGATGGAGTGGTACCTCATTGTGAGTAGCCAGTTTCAGGAATCAGCCAATTAGATCATGATTGCAGTCTTATCTCACAAAGCCATAAAATCTCATATTCAAATCAATTGTTACAGAGCCAAGGAGAAGGAGGGTCCCAGACACCAGAGTTGCTTTATTCAGCAGGGGAAAAAATAAGCAGGAAATGATGAGAGTGTACCTGGGGCTGTTGATGGGACTAAAGAAGGGCTGTGTCTTGGCAGTACTGTGCTGGATAGGACCCAATCCCCAGGGAAGCAATCAGAGCCCAATACATATATCCAGAGACAAGTCCTGGTTGATACAGGCCCGGTATTGCAATTCTATGCTGCCACCATAGAACACAGAGTGAATGGTACTCCCTTTAGCAGCTCAAAGAACATTCCTTACTTTTCAGGCCCTTCTCTGCTGGTGGCCTACTATTTCCGAAGACCCCATCCATATGTGGGGTCCCTGAACTCAGCAGGGCACGGAGCCTCAAGAGTGTGTACTTGCTGATGATTCTGAGCCTCTTGGGGGGAATCTGTCTCCCTCGTCTTAGTGTTCACCTGTGCCTGAAGATAGGAAAGTTGCTTTGTGTTTATTTCATCATGGCTGCTGCAGAGCCCTGGAAAACAAGTGTAGATGATCTGTGTAGACATGGGTGATGGGGGAGCAGTGTAGATGTGATGGGGGGAAACTGCTCTAACCTTGCTACACTGTCAATGTCTGGAGGAGAAGCCCTTATACTTGACATAGCTGCATGGGGAGACCTCTGGGGTAGGGCAGAAAGAGGTTAAAGTTGAGCTTGGAAAGGTGCAGGTATGTCCGTTTCTTTTCTCATTTTGTGGGTGTCTCTGGAGTGTCCTGGTTTTCCAGGGATGGTGCCTGGGGGTGGCTGTGGTAGGGGTATATAGAAATATGTGAGCAGCGTTTCTCTCCACCCGGCCGTCTTGTCTGCTGCTTTCGGTTGGGAGCCCTCCTGCACCTAAGGCAGGAAGATAGTGGCCGCCAAGAAGACGAAAAAGTCCCTGGAGTCGATCAACTCTAGACTTCAACTTGTTCTGAAAAGTGGCAAGTACGTGCTGGGGTACAAGCAGATGCTGAAGATGATCAGACAGGGCAAAGGGAAACTGGTCATCCTCACCAACAACTGCCCAGCCTTGAGGAAATCTGAAATAGAATACTATGCCATGTTGGCAAAAACTGGTGTCCATCACTACAGTGGCAATAATATTGAACTGGGTACAGCATGTGGAAAGTACTACAGCGTATGCACACTGGCTATCATTGATCCAGGTGATTCTGATATCACTGGAAGCATGCCAGAACAAACTGGAGACAAAGCGCACACAATTTTTCTTTAATAAAACTTTCCAGAGCTCTTTAAAAAAAAAAAAGAAAAGAAATATGTGAGCAGATCAGCTCAGCTGGCTTGGTGATGGTGAGGGATGTTAGGGGAAGAGTCAGGACACAGGCTAGTTTCTTTTCCTTCCTTCCTTCCTTCTCCCTCTTTCTCTTTTTCTTTCTCTCTCTTTTCTTTTTTATTGGTTGTGGGTCTTGAACTCAGAGCCTGGGAACTGTGGCTGAGCTCTTTTGCTCAAGGATAGCACTCTACCTCTTTAAGCCACAGTGCCACTTCTAGCTTTCTGGTGATTAATTGGAGATAAGAGTCTCATGAACTTTCCTGCTTGGGCTGGCTTTGAACCATGATCCTTAGATCTCAGCCTCCTGTGTATTTAGGATTATAGGCATGAGCCATCAGTGCTCAGCTTTACAGGCTAGTTTCTACATGTGATTTTTCTGTCTTTTCAGGTTCCTGGGGGAAGCCAAAGTCCCACTCCGCGAAGTCCTTTCAACCCCCAGTCTATCCGCTAGCTTCAATGCGCCCCTGCTGGACACCAAGCAGCATCCCACTGGGGTAAGTGCCCATTGACCCTGAATAGGCTCTAGTTTCTGGTCTGAGGCTTTACCCGATGGCTTCTTCCTCGGGCCTGGATGTTTTTCGACTCTGTTGATGCGTCAGAATCCAGCTCTTAGAAGCTAAGCTTGGCCTTCTCTGGCCAGGGCTTTGGATACCAGGATGGACACTGGACTAGGAGTCAAGAAAGCCCTGCCCTCCCCTATACATATCAATTCAGCTGTACCTCATGCCAGTTTGGCTGCCCCTGGGTCGCGTCTTGCCCATATAGTTACCTTCTGCCTCTAGTTTTCCGGTCAACTCTGATAATCTGGCAGACCTTCCTTTCCCGCTGCCCAGCCCCATTCTCCAGATTTGGAACATCTGAGTCATCTAGGTGACAGATCACATGGAGAAAAAGACAGATAGCCCTCTTCCGTCAACCAGGGAGCAGACTCCCTTCCTTTTCCTCCATTGTCCTTTCCGCTCCGCCTCCTGCCTGCTCAGGACTGTCCTGGTCCAAGCAGTCAGTTCCTGGCCCTCATCTCTGGCCTCCTGTTATTTTTAGTGAGCTAAATATACTCTGAAGGGCTCTTTCCTCCTGGTCACCAGAATTCCTGACCTTCCCTCTGGCTCTGCTCCATCTCCCAGGATGCACTTGGGACTATTGATCTGGAAATGCTTCCTCCCAGTGAGGCTTGGTTGGGGGAGAGGGTGAGTTCTAGGCCTTGAGACAGGATGAGTGTGTGTGTGTGTGTGTGTGTGTGTGTGTGTGTGTGTGTGTGTGTGAGTTTAGGCCCTTGGATGTCTGTGACAGTCAGTAACTGGCCAGTTTGAGACCACACTGGGCATTAAGCACATCTAGGCTCATAGCAAACAGGTTTCCAAAATGGGGACACCAATCAGTGGGGCATTTTTACACTCTGAGGGTTTAACGGGTCAAATGGACTTCTGCCTCTCTGTACTCCTGATCTGTTACCCTTCCGATGTTGGAATTTGCTCCCAAGGCATCTTAGGCCAGTGATGGCCAGTAGCTTCCTTGAACAGGAATAGTATTTCCCAACAGAATCCTTCCTAGCCTTACAGTGCCAATCTGATTCAATGGGACAATCTGATTCAATGCAGTGCTCTTGAGACTGTCTCTTATCACCTCCTGAGTCCCATCTGGTTCCCCGCCCCCCCCCCCCACCACACACACTTGTATGTGTATGTGTATGGTGTATGCATGGGTGCCATTCCTGGGACTGGAATTCAGGGCCTAGGTGTTGTCCCTGAGCTTCTTTTGCTCAAGGCTAGTGCTTTATCACTTGAACCACAGCACCACTTCCATTTTTTTTTTCTGAGTAGTTTATTCGAGTTAAGAGTCTCACAGACTTTCCTATCTGAGCTGGCATTGAATCATGATCCTCAAATCTCAGCTTCCTATGTAGCTAGGATTATAGGCATATGCCACTGTGCCTGGCTTCGAGGGACTTCTGGAACTGCTCCCCTCCCCATGGCGATTCTTAGGTGGTCCCCTGTAGCAGAGCACCATGGAGAAACCATGGTCATGAAGGTATCCACTGAGGGAAGCTGTTGGAGACTGGGGTCTGCCTGGAGCTTTTCCATCACCCTTCAAATGGTTGGCTCCTCTGTAGTATTTGGGGCCCCCAAGCCCAAACTGGGGTTTCTTCTTTTCTTCTGTGCTGAGTGAGACCTCAATATGGCTCCACTACCACCTTTTCTGCATCTGAGACACTCACGTTTCCTGCATCTGCTCCTCTCCAAGCTCAGCTTTTCCTCCATCCTTCTACATTTGGTTGTTGTTCACTAGACTGCCAGGCAGTCTAGTAGGAAAAACATACAAATGCATTTTAAAACTAATTTTTTATTGAGATTAAGTAATTACATAAATTTCACATCGTATTGTGAGATAGTGAGATAGTTAAAGTCACAAACACATTTTAACCTTCACAAGGCAAATTGTCATTATCATGGTCTTCCTCATTGGGTGATATGTATGTTTCTTTCCTTTTGCTTAGCATGCACATGCATTTTAAGAGCAGCTTGTCAAATGCTGGACACATGACAGAGCTACATCCTATTACCTCAGCCTTGAAAGGCAGAGTCAGGTGGGAAAGGGAATCCCTAGGTGACAAGAACACATGGAGGGTTGGGAGAGCCAGCGGACACTGCGCATTGGGAATAGGGATCAGAGGAAGGCAAGCACACTGCTCTGGGCATTCCTGAGCTTCTTTCAAATGTTCACCTAACCAATGCTTTAGCATGGGAGATGCCATCCTACCCTGCAGCAGCCCTTGGAGGCATCTGAGGGAGAAGTGAGGGATCCAGGAACACAGTAGCCATTTGCCCATGAACTCCTGAGGTCCTACTGCTTGCCGCTTACCTCCTGGACTGCAGCTTTCCAACCCTGAGCTTGTCAAGACCAGTGCTGAAGAGCTGCCTCCCAGTATGGACAGATAACATGTGGCCTAGACTGATTGCATAACCTGTGAGAGGACAGAGACTTCAGAGTTGACGGCAAGGTAGCTCTCTCCTGCCTTTGTTTCCTGAGCCCTCTCTGCCTAGGGGCTGAGGACTCCAAGATGGCTGATTTTGGTTGCAGAAGCTACCCAGCTCCTGGGCAATGTGTTTTATTGGACATATGGTTGATAGATAATTGTCATGTAATAGAATAATTCTACAGTGTTATAAAGTCTGGAGACCTGAGGAACTGGGCATCTAATTTGATGGCCTGAAGGAGGGTCCCAGTGGAACTTCTGGGCCAAAGTCCTGACCATAGGGCTCACATCTCATAGGAAGAAAATCCTGTGTTGTGATTGCAGAAGCAAAATTCTTAGATTATTTCTTCTTTTTCTTCTTCTACTTCTTCTTCCTCTTCCTCTTCTTCCTCTTTTTCCTCTTCTTCTTTTGGTGCTGGCCCTGGGCCTTAAACTCAGGGCCAGGGCCTGGGTACTATTCTTGAGCTGTTGTGCTCAAGCTTAGTGCTCTACCACTTGAACCACAATTCCACTTCTGGATTTCTTGGTAATCTTTCTAACCCAGGCTAGCTTTGAATCATGATTCTCATAGCTCAGCCTTTTGAATGACCAGGATTATAGGCAAGAGCTACCAGCACCCAGCTTTAGATCCTTTTAAGCTTCTATCATAAAATAATTTAAGACTACAGTGATCCCTCACCAACTGTGGAAGTTATATTTCAGAGACTTCCAAGATAGGTGAAAATCTGTGAATTAACAACATTATATTATATATATATATATATATATTTAAAGGCTTTATAAACTCTTCCCACTCTCCTATAAATCCTTTCCCACACTTTTATAAACACTTCATATGTTCTTAAATATGTTCTACACTCTTAAACCTATGTAATTTTAACAAAATATAAAATTCTGTGTGGATACTCACCAATGAAGCATACTACAGCTTCTATGATGAAGATCATGAATCATGTAGCTGTGCAGTACTGATGATGATGAAAGCAATGATGATGAGATGAATGTGCTGCACAGCTTGTCATCAGGCATGTCATCAGGGGCAGTATCTTCTCCCTGCACTGTAACTTCTATTTCTGCTAAAGGTATAGGAACAACTGATCTCTTTGTCTGAGTGATGAACATAGTTATGGGGAGTTGCTGGAGTTGCTTTTTCTTCTGCGTGAGAATGTTTTTATAAACTGACATACCACTCTCAATTGTATTTACGAAGTGCAACAAACAAAGCATCTGGGGGTATCATTCTTCAGCTACTCGCTGAAGTTCTTTGGCCATTCTGACCATGGTTGCAAGACAGTTGAGTGTTAGGCCAACCTTCTCCTCCTCTCCAACACATAGTTCATCTTGTTCCTCATCCTCTTCTTCACTTGCTGACTTTGTCTCATCCATGTTAAAAACTTGTTCAGGCTTTTAGCCCCTTGGCTCTGACTTTATCTGCAGAAGTAGCTTCTCCATGCAGAGAAACATTCTTGAGTTCAAAGCATCTTGGAAATTTGTCAAACCAGCCCTTGCTGGCACTCTATGGGGTTGGTCTGGTAGGAGAAGCACTCGACAGTTCTGCTTCTGCGTTGTCATCCTGGTCTTCATCCTTGTCACCGTCATGAATGTCTGTGCTGTCCGCAAAACTATCATAAAGTTTCTTCGCCTTCATCCAGATGGTGTTGGTATTCAGGGAGATATTCTTCTTTCTGCAGTCATTTATTCACAAGGCCAAGGCAGACTCCATCCTCACAATGGCCTTATAACAGGAAGTGACCACATTCTCTGCAGTCTGGTTAAAAGTCATTGTTGCCATAGACTTAGTATTCTTTTCACCTTTATGTAGTGAACAATAGATTCATTGATACCGTAATGGTAGCCTACAGCCATGTAGCTTTCCCCTTTTTGCCTTTAATAGGCCGAGAAGTTCTACCTTTCCTTTGGTGGTGCAGAATGTTTGGGTTGCATCATAAGGCTTAAAATAAATTCAAACTTTTATGATAATGTCACAACAACACAACACTGCAGAGCAACATTACATGCAGTGATCAGACAACGATGTGAAGTAGACAAGGAGAGATGCTGAACATATGGGCACAGCAAACAGCTGTATGCTATGGTCACTGAGCCAATCAGTGCCCAGGATACAGAACACAGTGCTATGGTTGGTCGCTTTCTAGTCCATCAGCCAATAGTGTGCTGTGTACAATCTCACATTGGGAAACTTGTGTAAGCAGTAGTAGTGGACCGCACATTTCCATTGTGTACAGTATGGTATTCATCTGCAGATGAAATACATACTGTGGGTTTTTTTACATTTTAATATTGTTGTAATATTTTTGGCAAGGATAATTAAAATTGGAAATATTATATAAATACCTGCACACCACAAAATCCCACAATATAGTGAGGGATGACCGTAGAAAAAGTTGTCAGGAATGGTAGCAAGAATATGGTGTCCTCAGCCATTTGAGATTAAGTTGCCAACCTCTTGGCTCATCACTCTGAATTTAATGTACATTTCTCTGATTAAAGATGTTCTCCCAAGCCAGGTACTGGTATCTCAGGCCTGTAATCCTTGCTACTCAGAAAGCTGAGATATAAGGATCTGTGTTTGAAGTTGGGCTGGGTAGGAAAGTCCCTGAGATTCTTTTTCTTTTTTTGGGGGGGGGGTCCGGTCGTGGGGCCTGAACTCTGGGCCTGGGCGCTGTCCCTCAGCTCTTCAGCTCAAGGCTAGCACTCTACCACTTGAGCCACAGC